ATCAATGGACCATAGAATTTTACACAACAAACATTTGATGCCATCGTTCAGGAGGAGCCGCGGCCAAATGAGGTTGCAATATGAGCGAACGAAGCAACCGGGGTGATATCACATCGTTCAGGCGTGTAGCGCATGACGCTCTGGTGTCATGTGACCGACTCGAGTTGAACAACACAGGCATGCGTACGGGTATATCGGGAATCGATGGGACATGACAGCACGGTTAGAAGCATACAATTTTTCCTCTCCAGGTGAACTCAATAGAGTAGAAAAAACAGTTATGGAGGAATTTGAACTATAGCCATTGATAAGTGCCCAAAGATGCTCTTTTATGGGGTTCAGAATCCCACCTTGATCCAGTCAAACAATTAGTTGTAATTTACGGATCAGACAAAGTGACTGTAACCGGTTTTCGATACCACAACCATCCTATTAAAGCGTTATCTGGTTCGTTCAATATTCGAAATTCTGGGGTCTCATGTGCCGGTTATCGAAACTCAACTACACGAAGACCCGCTGGTTTTTTACATCTATACTCCGAACGTCATTCGTGACGTATTGAGATGAACAAAAAAGAGGTACAAAAATTGACCACAAATCAAGAAATCTATGCAAAATCTTTGACTAGTCCAGTCCTCCAAGTCTATGCAATCATTGACTGTCACTGTGGACGTAGTTCGAATCGTATTCTCGTGCACGTATCTAATTGACTAAGCACCTCCGTGTTTTAGCCCGTACGAATTCACAAACAGCAGAACCTGCTTGCTAACCGCGGAGAAGGGTAACGACTCCCAGGCTGGAGGTTCACGGTCCGAGTTCCGAATCGGACACAGAAGTAAGCACTGCTAACTGGCATGAAAAGAAAGAAAACAGGTATCCAGTGCCGTGTATTGACCAAGGCACACAGCTTTATGTATACGATTGTTCTGGTTTCGTTTTAGGCATGAATTCAGACAAAAATGATGATACACCCTGGAACTTCATGTATTTCAAAATTCACCAGCTAATTCCACTTTATTAGTCCGAGCGACAGTCAGTTTCGAATTTTATTGACCTGTAGGTGCACCTGTTGGTACTAGTGAATTGCCCTAGTATGATCGGAGTGGGTGTTTCCATATCCGGATTTAACCGCCCCGAGCCCTTCTGAATTGGCACATTACACGTTTCATGCCGATGAATAATTGATAACTACATACCTGATTGTCTTTGATCCTATCTTAGCCCAAGTAAACCGCCAACAGATCAGCTAGAAAAGAGAGTAGGAGATAGCGATATGATAACTTATACTGGCGAAGTCAAGATCAGTAAACAATGAGTTCAGTTCATAAGTGCAAATATCTGAGTGGACTTCTGCCTGTTCTGAACTGCCATTTCCTCCGTTCATTCAACCTGGGTAAAATATAGAAACAATTTGCTGAAAGCTATCTCGCAAAATGTGCCAGATTTGTGCAATGCATCATCAAACTTGACTTAAAAAAATAAGCAGTTTTCACTTGATCAAGCATCCATCTCCTTGTTTGACTTGGGTAAAATCCCTGTAATTAACTATGCGGTTTTTTCCTGGTACACGAAGCAGAAGAAACAAAAACTAATTACAGACACACGAATCAGGCTGAAAACCGTGTGCGATAGGTGAACCGTACAAAACGTATGCTTCCCTTGGCCCCGGGTAGAATCCGGCTCGAGCATGAGATTAGTGCTCGGATTGGATCGCGAATGAGCTCACAAATCCCCTACCTGTCAGAACAGACACACACATCCTCGAATATTGTCCTAAAATTGAACTCACCAGAGTCTGTGGTTCGTGGCACAAGATCTTCCGACAAGGCAGCTACTTCCGAGTTTGCTTTCGTTGGCGACGGAGTAGTTTCCTTGCTGGCTGATTTAGACTCATTCTTCACCGGTATTGGCCTCGTTTCACTACTGTGCATCGGGATGGCTGTATCTTTCAAACGCAGTCGCTTATGCCCAGTACCCAATAATTCCGATCGAATATCTCGTTCGAAATCTTCCGGTTTGAAGTGTTGCGAACAGACCCGAGAGTGTTGTGATGGGACGAAAGCATGACGACCGCAGGCACGANGGCACGAACCCAGCACTCGGTCCTGGTCACATCCCGACGAGGAAACCGAAAGAAGCTCAGTCCACGTCCATCATCCGTACGATTATGACAACCAGCAAAACAGCATTGAGGCATGTTTTGGCAGACAGATGAGGAGACCGTGGAGAACAGGAGTGTGATGGATTTCAAAATTGATAGGTCAAACCGACGAGTTATTTGGTGCTAATGCCAATGAAGCTGACGAACTGTGATGGGCACTGTCCACGTGAGAATCGACGTCAAAATTTGTTAGTCCGAGATACTGTTAACGGAGAGGCCACAAAATTAACGCATGTGTTGTGACACTCGAGACGAGTTGGCTTGAGTTGTGGTTCTCCGGGTCCAGTTCGATCGACGCCCAGCTCTCACCCTCGGACAGACTTGTGTTTGTGTGAGTGTGCGTGCGTGCGTGCGTGAGTGGGTGATTGAGTGAGTGAGCCGGGCAAATTCGTCCCCCACTGGGCGTTCGACCGACCGATTGTGCGTGTTTGTGTGTCTGGTTCGTCACTCGAGGCTTCGATGCTAGCCCAATCAGTCAGTCAATCGGGCAAACAGTCGATTGCTGGTTTGTGCGGTGATGTGTATGTGTGTATTTGTATGTATGTGTTTTAGTAGGATTGGGCCCAAGCAAGATTCGAGAGTAAAGCCATAATAGAACGTGTGCATGTACGGCTGTGTTATGTACTGGGCCGTCTGCTTGTGTGTTTTGAGCGAGTGGACCAGCAACCTCCAGCCAGTCGACCAGCCAGGAAACAAGCAAATCACCAGGCTGGTTCTCAGTCGTCGCCCAGACCGGGGGGTTAGAATGCCAATGAGGTCTACCGAGTAGAGGAGTGTGTGCGAATAAGCGGACGGACGGACGCGCAAATGCGAACGAGCTCAGCTCGCCAGCTCGACGACGACTCAGGAGGACACGTGCAGCGTGCGTGCGTGCACGTGTGAGTGCGTTCGTGTGCGCATATGCGCTCAGTCCGAGATGCGCTCACGCCCGTCCTTCTGTAGGCCGGTTGGTCCGTGCTTCTGCTGCTGCTGCTGTCTACCGATCACAACCTGAGCGACACGGACCAACTGCGTGGGCGTGGGGCCGAATGAACATATCGGCGAAGGTAGGCCACTCGGCTGACTGGTTGTGGGATTGATCGGACGTCGATGACGTCAAATGCGCGCCCTCTTGTAGAACTTTCCACACAACAGATCGAAGATGAGGTTGGGCAGCACGAGTTGTGTATGTCTGTGTGTATTAAGGCGTGCTCGAGTGCGTCCGTGCACGTTAGCTCGGTCAGCTGAGGAGCCCGACCAGCAGCTGGCGGCCCAAAAGCAAATCACACTTTGAACATATGAACAGACCCCTCCCCATCCGAAACGGAGTAAGGCAAATGTCCGTCGGGTCGAGCATTAGGTTTTGGACAGGTAGACAGGTCGAATCACGAGGACAGACAGGCATTCACAGTGGACAGGCGCAGAGCAGTGTGCGGACAAGCGCTATTGGGCCTCTCGCTATACACCTATGTGACCTCAGATGCAATGCTCGCGTAACACCCTGTGAACACACACATAAATGCGAAGACACACAGAAGGACATACAAATAAACGATAACACGCAACTTTGTCTGTCATGTGCGCGTTGTTCGTCATCTGGTCGACCTGCGCATTCGGCCTCTGACAAGCTTGCCTGTATGCCTCCGAGCGGCCGTTTTGAGGTGAGCGCGGACGTACGCACACGCGCGTAAAAGGAGTGGCTTACCTTGATACAAACCTGTCCATTGTGTGTGTATTTGAGGCCAATAGCACAAAACGAACGAAAAAAAACAGAAGGCCAAACATGTATTTTCCATGGCAATCCTTCTCGTTGATCCTCAAGCGCTTGTTCTTGGGTGTCCAACAGAACCAATTGAGAACACAATAAAAAGAACTAGCTCGTTTTCAGCTATTCATAATTATACCAATGTAAAACGTTAAAAATGTTTAACAATATCGGTGAGAGGAATGGACGTTAGTGACCTAAATGGTTCGGATCAGAATTCGCTGGTGCATGTGTGTGTGTGTGTGTGTGTGTGTGTGCGTGTGTGTGTGTGCAAAACTGATAATGGTGTCAAATATTCAAGTGTCTGAACACAATCCGCATTACCCTAGTATATTCCCACAAAATAGAAGAAACATGTAGCGGCCTAGATTATTTGAATTGGTGGTCGAAAACTGTAGCTGTACAAATATAAGCAAACATGACCATTACTTCGATTGCATGTCCATAAGTCATGAGGATTTGGACAGATAATTTTGCGGATTAGCTCACACCAAAAGGTCAAATGAGACTATGGCATGGAAGATTTCTATTGATCAAAGTCAATGAGAAATCCTAATCAAGTGCGATCTTTTCACTCGCGAAGGACGGCCTCCATACAAATGCACAAGCACTGCAAGTAGGTTCCATCATAATAGTTTATTGGTCAGAATATGGTTGGATTCACTCAACTTGGACATAATTTTCAAGGTGCACGCAGTTCAGACCACAAATTGCTCTGTGAATAGTTTCCACAACTGCCAGTCCCCGCTGACGATATTTCCTGATTCAAGTGCCTCTAGTCCTAGCAAACTCGACTGGTGTTCACTGGTGGTCAACTGGACTGTACAATGAATGAACAAAAGTCTTCCGGAGTAATTGGAATGACTTTGCGAAGTCTGCTCGTTGTGTGTTTTTGGACTACTCATCTACTTTTGATTCTATCCCTCGTGCCCTTCTTTTTCGTTAACTGGAAACCTTCCGTTGCCCTAGGCGGTTATTAGCGTGACTTGCCGATTACTTTTCCGCGAGAACTCAGTGTACCAGGTTAGGTCGGAAGAAATCCAAACCACTGGTGAACAATTTTGGGGTACTTCAATGTGAAGTTCTTCCCCCCATACTTGTTTGCTAGCGCCCCTTCAAATACGCTGACGATGTGGATTCATATCAAACCATCTCTGATTCTTCTGATTTTTCACAATTTTCTGACAAATTGGAAAACGTTCAACAATTTTCCGCCACATTCAAACTCTGTCCTAATCCCTCCAATTGTTCCGAATGTCTCTTAACATTATCATTCATTCTCTTCTTTCCCATCTGATCTGGTATCGATTGACTCTGAACCAGCATCCCGGGTAAGCTGTATTGGGTTTCTTTTATCGATGCTAATCGTCATGGACCTATCACGTTCAAAATATCGTCAGTAAGCTTCTATTACTTTCTTTTTCATATCCGTAAACTTCGTCAGTTTAGTATTCAACAACCGAATATTTCAAAATTCGTGTACCACTGTGTTTGCCCCGTTTTATTTTATTGTTCACCTGTTATTTTTTCCGATCGCCTAAAGAACTTCTTCGACGTGGACTGACCATCATTAGCAGAATCTCTTCAATCCCNCCCCCTGGGGGGGGGGGGTTGGTAACTAACCTGTGCGAACGTCATTTGAATGCATATGCAAAGTTTGCACATAAGATTCTTATAAACTCCACACATCCACTACATAGTTTTAAATTCCTGTTGTTCACATCCGTCAACTAGATCCCAATATCGTTGTGTTCCCTCTCGAATAAACATATATCGCATTAGAAAGTATTCTAGTTAACAGAGAACAGGTTTTCACAGACTTAATTAACAGTTTTGGGAGTTAATTTTTAATTTTTTACTACTGTTTATTTTCTCCCTTACTCCAAATTATATATTTTTGAGTGAAATATAGGCTTTATGCCTACAGAAGTTTTTACAATTACAATAACAATAACAACTTGTTATCAAACCCAGATAGTCCACAGGTATGGAACTGCTCGGTTCTTTCTGAGCCTTGCGTTGTATTCATCATTATGTGTAGATTGTGACGGCTTTTAGTCCTGTTTGATTAAAAGGGGTTAGTCATGCTCTTCGATATTCTAATGGACGTTTTAGGACTAGTTGGGAACGATGATAATCCGATGGTATAGGCTGTTATTCTATCGTCTCATAGTTCGAACCCTACAATCGTTGTTTAGCCGTCTTCATTCGATCACGAAACCTTTCTTGAATATTGATTAAATCTTTGTTGTTTATTAAGCTAATGGATTTAAAACGATTATTATTAATATTATTGTTATTATTATTATCACGAAACATTCGTTAAATTGAAAGGTGTGGTCAGTTCATAGAACAGCAATTTTCTTCATTTATGCACTCACGGATTTTTTTTAACTGCACACTAATCTGACTTGATGAAAATCCTCTCCGGAACCGACATTAGCCGATATCCGAACGGCTGTCATATGAACACAGTACAGAGTATCAACAGCAACCTCCATGATCATTTTCGTTTCGCTTCGTGATGAGCTGTGCGTAAAATATGAGTACCGATTGTTTTTTCATACTGAAAACAATCACCTTGGTTTTGTGTCCAAAGAATGGGAAAAATCACTTCGACTGCTGTTAATTTTCGTATTTTAAATTCATTGTACCGGTAACCAAACCCAGGTCATTCAAAGTATGCCAAGGTCACCATCCGTGTCAAAAAAAATAATCTTTCCACTTCATAGTTGAATTAAACGCATAGATTGAAAAGACCATCGTGAAAATTTGATACGATTTCCATGGAAATACAGTACTGGAAAGGCTGAATAAACACCTGCGGTGTTGCAACTCTTCAAATGTTAGTACCAATCTACTGGAACTGACGCGCGTCAGTAAAGGTGATGTATATAAGATGATGGACAGAATTCATCCATCGTATTGTGAAATTCGTCAGAAGACGGTTTCACACACTGACATGATATGTTCAACAAGATCCCTACTGTGTTCTTGTAATTGATCATCATGAATAACAGTTTTCATGTCACTTAAGCTTGGGTAATATCTGCTTTGCAAATAATAGTAATAATAGCAATAATAAAAGTAGGGATGCTTTACTTCCATAAATTCGGTAGAAGCCATTGACCAAGAAATGCAATTTGGTTTAGATATTTCATT